GAATGAATGAATGAATGAATAAATAAATGAATGCATAAATAAATAAATTTTAAAGACAGTAGAATTTTGAAAATTCACAATAACTTCACTAAATATTTCAGTGGAAAAGTAATAGAATTAGTGATTTTCATAAAGTTGATAGACAATCATTTATACTAAAAGCTCAGCCTGCCATCTTTCATGTAAGAGCTAATTAAAACAGTACCTGTGTACATCACATGTGTACCAAGTTTGAATGAAATCACTTCAAGCATGCCCAAAATATAGCCAAGGGCAGACACTAACACGGAACCAAAATTATAAGCCTCTCGAGATGATGACTCGAGTGCATAATGATTAATGGTAGACTTTTGCCATCAATGTAAAGGAGTTGTTTTTATATTTTGTTTATAGTGTTCAAAAACAATAATTGGAACCATCTGATATATATTCATCACGAAAATTTGAATTTCAATGTGTGCATTCACTATAGAAAGCTTTTTACTATAATGCGCAAAGTATATATACACCATTAGCCAGAGAAACACATGATGGGGTATTGAATGTCTAATTTACATATTTTGGGATAAATACAATGAAAACAGGATGGTCCTCTCTGTCGTACACCAAAAATTAAAATGATACATAGGACAAGATAAGATTAATTAAAGACAAAATTACAACTGGAAGAACAATTTATATGTATTTGTATTACATAGTTCCTGTGAGTTTTCACTAACACCAAATGACCACCAGTCGGCCATTTTGAATCTGTCCTGAAGAACAAAACAATGTGCATCAAGTTCTCAAAATGTCTAATGTTTGTACTGAAGACAATTTATCCATACATGATCGCGATTCAGTTCTAGAATGGCAGAAATGCTTCATTTTGATGAATCGTCATCACAAAATATATTGAACCTGTACATTTTCATATTGAATTTAGAGAAGGGTCAAGAACTAATGAGGAAAAGAAAAGGATTTTCAAACACTTTGTGCCATTTCTCGATATATATTATATGCCCACAAAAAACAACAATTTGGATTGTTAAATTTCGTTACCATATACCAAAGATGCTAACCCATTATTCTTCGTCTTTTCACCAACTTTGAACAAAATAAGTCCATCATGTCTGATGAATGACGCACAGATGTGCGGACAAACAGATACATTCCCATAACCCAATAACTTTTAGATTGCCTAGACAAATAATTGCATTACATAGCTCCAGTGAGTCATTTCAAATCTTATGAACAACAATTTGGTTATATCATCAGTATTGCTTGACCAATAACAAACATATCTCAAATACCAATGAATTATATACTCAATGTACTCAATATGAGCTATGTTGGTGAAATGTTTGAGCAAATATGGAGTTTTGGACTTTAATTAGTCTAGTTGATAAGCACAAACATTGTGTACTTTTGAGTGGAAGCATGAAATTTGGCACAATTGTACAGCTGATAATTACCTGATACTATACCAGACTTAATTACTTGCTGGGGTTTATTATTGCTTATTTTGCTGATACGCAGATGTATGTTCCAAATTGAAACCCAGGTAGTATGCATTTATTAGAATGTTATGTTTTCTTTACAAACAAGTGAATTTAAAACTTATAGTGACTATCTCTACAACAGTGAATTCAATAAAAATCACCTGTGTGAAAGTTTCCCCTATAGGCAGACACAATATGACATCACATAGTGACATTTCTTCCAATCAGCATAGGAATGTCCCTCAGTGATGTGGCAGCATTAACAGACACATATACAGGTATATATAATCATAACAACATTTAACAATGTCATTATTTTATCTATGGGGTGAATGACTGGTTCTTGCCAGCCACTAACTGTACACATTCATAGAAGATGCTATCTGCAACTAGAAGGTGCTGACCAATGTACACTATAGAATAGAATAGAATAGAATTCTTTATTAATACCGTAAAGATAATGTGACATTTCTTTTTTGGTTAACGAGTTAATAAAGTTTTTACATAGTTGAGCGGACATAAA